CGAAGAGTAGCCCCCACTCACTGCAACTAGAGAAAGCCCGCGCACAGCGCCGAAGACCCAACGCAGCCAATAAATAAATAATAAATAAATTTATTTTTAAAAATTTAATTTATTCTTACAATAATGCTGTGAGATAGATGTTATTATCTCCTTTTCACATGGGAGCAAACTGAAGGTAGAGAAGTTAAGCAACTCAACCAGAGTGATGCAGTTTTAAGTGGGGTGGGCAAGGTGGAATTTCCAGGCATTCGGGTCCAAGGTCAGTTCACTTATGCGCTATTCTGTATTGCTGCTCACAGTATTGTATGATTAACTTGATGGTAATATTTGCTCTCATTTTAAAAGATTATATGCCAGACATTATTCTGAGTGTTTTGTTACACGTATGAACTCATTCAGTCCTCCCAGTAATCCTTGAAGTGGGCACTGGATCATGCCCATGTTGCAGAAAGGAAAAGTGAAGCATTGAGAGGTTAAATAACTTGCCTAAAGTTATTCCTCTACTTAATTGGCAAAATCAGGCTTCGAGCTCACGTAGTCTGGTTCCAGAGGCTACAGTGTTTAACCCCTACTAGAGTTTTTAGTCATTAACCCCTACTAGTATCACCTCCATATTCTACTCCATAACGTAACTAATGTTTATTTTTAATATAAACGTGTTTTATGTTATCTTTAAGTAAAATTAATATTCCAGGAAGATATATCATGTTCATACTGTGGCTTTACTCTGTCTGGCTTACCCCCTGGTGTGTGTGTGTGTGTGTGTGTGTGTGTGTATACACTTTGATAATTGTGTTTCCAGAACAGTACTATCCAATGCAGTAGCCATTGGGCACATGTGGCTATTTAAAATTTTTTTGATTTTGCATTATTTTAATATAGCAAAGCATTGACAAGAATAATAGGAAACTTATTTGATAAATTTGGTTTTATAAAAATATTTGTTGAACAGAGTTGCTTGAAAAGAGGCAAAAAGACAGAATATAAAAATATTAGTGATGAAATATTTACATATATCTATTTCAAAAATTAGAATAGAAAATATTCTCCATCTAGAAGCATTACTTCTGAGATTACCAGGTCCCCTGGCACCTGTAGTGTTTCACAATTAAAAAAAAATCATGGTCTTCAGTGAAGAGTCATATGAAGGTGTCAACAGTTTCACATTCATAAGCATGACATGCAATTTTGAAGAGAATCACAGGAAATTCTATGAAAAATAAAATAATAGGGCTTCTCTGGTGGCGCAGTGGTTGAGAGCCCGCCTGCCGATGCAGGGGACACGGGTTCGTGCCCCGGTCCGGAAAGATCCCACATGCTGCGGGGCGCCTGGGCGCATGAGCCATGGCCGCTGAGCCTGCACGTCTGGGGCCTGTGCTCCACAACGGGAGAGGCCACAACAGTGAGAGGCCCGCGTACCGCAAAAAAAAAAAAAAAGAAAATTAAAATAATAAAACCACATTGAGATAATATATCTTCAGAAAAATACTGGTGTCATAGTATTAAAGACAGATATGGCTAATAAACTGATTAATGAATGTAAATATGTACCGAGAATAACAGTTTCTTTTTTTTTAAAGTTTTGGTAATCAATATAAAAAGATTTCTAAATCTGTTTTAATGCATGTAGATATATGTTACTATTATTTTTTAAAAGTGTAGTTGAATTCCAATATGGTATTTAAATTTAAATCGATTAAAATTAAATAAAATTTAAAACTCAGTTCCTCAGTCACGCTAATCACATCAATAGACATGCTATTATGACTCTCAGTAATCACTGCTAATCAATAGTCACACGTGCGTAATAGCTTCTGTATTGGACAGTGCAGATTATAGAACATTTTTGTCATGGCAGAAAGTTCTATTAGACAGTGCTGCTCTAGACAGTTTAGACTTACACTAGAAACAAGATTGACTAGAAAACTTAATACTTGAACCATATCGTTTGATCTTTGCAGGATTGTGTTTTTTGAGTAACAGTTGGTGTTATAATAGGTATACCCCCAAATCTAAATGGCTTTGCACAGTTGAAGTTTTTTATTTCTTTCATGCATGGAGCCTGATTGGTGGGCAGTTTTCCTCCAAGCAGTGAAGTAGGAACCTAGGCTCCTTCCATTTGGTGGTTCTCTATCTTCAGTATGTGGCTTCTAAGGTCATTGCTTGCCTGTTTCAAGCTGACAAATGGGAAAGAGGGTGGAGACAGGGGGGCATTTTTATGGATG